ATTCTGCCCAATCAGGCAGTAGTTGCTGGTAGATCTAAAGGTGATTGTGTAATCAGGTTGTAACGTGTGTGGAGCTATAGACGGCACGTGTGTGTGTGTAATGCCCTAGAACCTGCACATGTAGTATTGAAGAAAATGACACTCTAAAGAAGGCAGAAGGGAAAACAGGTCAGTCCCTCTCTGTTTGCAGTTATGAAGGTTGAGAGTATTTTGAAATGCGATACAAAATGCTTCCTGCCCCAGTCAAGCCTTCCGCTAACGTATATTACAGCTGCTAAGTGTGAAAAGTGACATTGAGGTACAGTATGACAAATGAGCCCGCCATACCCAACTTTCCCATTGGCTAATCTGCTAGCACTGACAGGATAGTGTAGGCACAAAGAACTAGGGTAGAATACAAACGACACTTCCAAATACAGAAAAATACCCATTAATGCCGCCGGCTCCACTGACCGCAACTAGAGAAAACCTCATTAGGCGCCAGATATCATTTTTTGGAGAAGCAGTGGCGACCAGGCTCCTGGGATTTGTCCAGCCCCGTACTAACTGATCAAGAATTGCTTTTAGACTTCCCCCAGAACCCAGCTCCTTAAACAATGTATACACTTTAAATTAAAATAAAACTGAAGCCAATTTCTTTTAATGTTTTGGATATTAAACAAAAAAGGTGGTTCGCATTATCTTCTAGTAACCAAAAATTCTAAAGGAAAAAAAAAAAGCTGTATTTTAGTTACTAGAAGATGATCCAGACTTATTACTTATTTCTAGTAATGGAAACTTTAAAATAAAAATGTGCTTGCATTTTTTTTTAAGATAAAAAAAAAAATCACCTATATTTCTTTGACCAATAAACAGAAATATAAATGAAATAATAATAATAGGGGTGCCTCGTGTCTTTAAATGCTTGTGACCACTGGTCCTGCTATTGGGGTTCCAGGCATGCATAAATATGGCTGCACTTCAGCCCTGACAATTTGTGATCTACAAATATGCGCTAGCAATCTAAACACATTGGGGGGAATTTAACAAAACTGGGGCAGGCAGATTCTGGAGCAAGTGTGCACGGCAACCAATCAGCTTCTAGCGTTTGTTTTCAAAGGTTAACTGAGCAAACTGAAGAGAGAAGCTGATTGGTTACTATGGGAAACTGCTCTAGATTCTGCCTGCTCCAGTTTTGATAAATTCCCCCCAATGCATCTGTCAATCAGGATTCCACTCAGTAATGCGGTTTATATGCAGAGCAGATGTCGATCCTGCCACTAAAAATTCTGCACTGTACTTGTTTACCATTAAGCAGAATGCCAGCCAAAAACAAAAAGGTAAAAACTAAACCATTAATAACTGGTTTATAACTATTAAAAAGATATTGTAAAAATAGGTTTATCTGCTATATTCACCTTCAATCCAGAGACTTTCACTGCAGAACTTTGTTCCCGCTAGATGGCCTTAGATCTAAAGGTGAACTAGAAGGCTTAGACTAACAACCAGCATCATTTTTTTCACTTCCTCTGAGCCCAGATCATCCTGGACCCGCCCCCAGACTGACTGGTCAGTTAAAGAAGAAGCAGCACACTGATAAGCTCATCTCTAGGACACTCTTTCTCCTCCCATCAGCCTGCTTCTTATCAGAACATGAGTGGATTAGCTCATTGTACTGCTTCTTCCTCTTACCCTCCAGCCCTGCTGTGCAGGGGTTGCAAGGGGCAGATACCATGTCAAATTCAGGAACGTATAGGGCTTGCATTTAAAAAAAATACATTTAAAAAAAACAGGACATTTTTTTTATTATTACCCCTTGAAGTACGGCTACCCCAGCACTGCAAGGGTTAAGTGTTAGTTTGTGTCTAGGTTCTTAAATAAAGATATACTTACCCTAAGCTCCGAGCCAGCCAGCTGTCAGAGCTCCCGCCAGACTGTCTCCACCTCCCTGTAGCATTGAAATCTTTCTTAGCATCCTCACGACTATACTACGGTATGTATAGACGTGATGATTCACGGGACCTTAGACCGCTGCAGAGGAGGGGGAGAGACGTCGGAAGGACCGGTCTAAGAAGAAACCAGCTCGGAGCATCGGGAGAGTTTACCTGTTATTTTTAAGCCTAGACACAAATGAGCACTTAACACTTGCAGTGTGGGGGTAGCCCCACTGCAAGGGTTAATCAAAAAAATTCCTTGAGTTCTTCTATAAATATGTGTTAAGGACTATATATCTGCAATAATTTGCACCGCAGATCTTTGCTCTACTGACACGCTACAGTGGCTGAAGAACGTCTGCATCTGACGCACTTCCAGAAGCGTCCGGTGCCCGTTCCCTCGCTGTTTGCTCTGGTTACATCCACTGGCCACTATTGGGCCCTGCAGCGATTTATCAGATTGAACCACAGAGCCCAACAGGTAACCAAACATTTGACACTCCCAGAAGTGTCAGATGTTAAAGACTTTTCCGCCAAAAGCAGTATTACCCAGGAACTCAGTTCACTGCAGGACCACCATCAGTGTACTGTTCTACAACAGTACATTGGGTAGGAAGAGGTGACATGCATTCTGATTTACATAACTAGAGGAGACAGCTGGTTTATACATCCACATAGTCCAGCACCGTCAGCAATCCACTGTACTGTATTTGGGGTTGTCATGCACAGCAGATCAATGCTGCCGGCACATGCACAATGATGCATCTGGTTACCTGTACCTATTAAGTTCATGGCAGCCATGCTGGTGCTGATGTACCCAAGTACATAAATGCTGCGTCACTATGATGCTCTTAGATACAGGTGTACTAAAACCTAGTTTTCTCCTCCCCAATAGTATCTCCATTCAAAGCATTTTACTAGAAGCCACTGCTGTTGAGCCACTGTTCTCACAGCTCTTACCTTTAAATATTTAAAAGGTATATTTAAAAGGTATAATATTTAATATCTTTAAATATTAAGATATTTTACTGTTTAGGCAAAGTGACACCAATAAACAGTAAAATATCTCAGTTAAGAATCCTATAGCAAGAGCTTATAGCGCTCAAAAGGACAGCTTTGGCCACTAAGCACCAGAGCATAAAGGACAATCCCCTACCTGGGCATAGACAGCGTAGCACAAACAGACTAAAACAAAACTTTTACCTGAGAACTGGAATCAACAAATTAGGGAACAAATGCAAACTATCTATATACTACACTTGTAGTCCCTACTACAAAAGTGGTTAATGGTTTTACCTTTTAAAGTCAAACCTATAACATGGGATCCCAACCTTCTGCCAGATAAAAATGCGAGCCACTGCAATTCCCCCAACTCGCCACGTGCAGGATATGCTCCCATGCGCACTGCACCATAAGAGGTAAAATGGGTGGAATACGCCCCTGCAGGTTCATAGAAAAATCTATTAACTTTGGATAGTGTAGGGAAGGGTAGCTTCATGAGGTTCTTACTGCTCTCTGTGTCACCTTCCTATGACTGCTTGACACTAATGACTGAAATGGTAAGCGAGAAGAAAGATTACTTTTTAGAGAAGATGCTTGAACCTTCGGGGTAGACTTTCATCCGAGCCTCCGTTTGAGAAATGTACCCTCTCTGGGTATTATTGTCACTGGCAGAGGCAGAGTGGAAATGTCTATCCAAGCACACACAAAGCAATAAAAACCTGACAGAGGTTCTCCTCCTTTCCCACTATTCATTAGTACAGACCCATCATACACGGCATGGTGCAAGAGCAGCACTGCTAAACCAACTGGCCCTTTCATACATGGACCAGTGTGAAAAATATACTGGGACAAGCTGCTAGATCGAATCACTAGGCCCTGACAAAGTGCTACTTTTATTAAAAGGTCTACTATATATATCGGTGACTTCAAACACTACTCAAAGTTCTTAGGCCTAAAACACACAACCGCAGCCAATACTGGAGGCTGGAGCAGAGTAAAAAAAAAAGGACTACAATGCAGAAATCTCCCTACCGAGCCCGTCTCACTCATTTCTCTGACATTGCAATGGCTCTAAAAACTGTGGTGGAAAATGCCCCTAAAGAAAAACAAAAACCTTAAAAACAAGTGTAATAAACATATAATGCAATATCGATGTTGTATGCTTTCCCTTTTAAGCAGATGTGGTTTGTTTTTCTTCTTTGTAACAATGTATTGCCCTGGAAGAAAATTTGCTTTCAACCATACATCAGTTTCTTGGAAAAAAAAAAGAAAAAAGAAAAAAAAGTTGTTATATATATTTGTACAAGGCAGGAAGGGCAAGGTGGAGATCAGTCACATCAGATGCCTTTATAGTGTCCAGGCCAAATTTCCTCCTTCAGGTCAAAGCAATCTTCCCATGTGGGGTGTGGTAAACATCTGATGACGCTTTCAACGCAGCTCCTAAAGGTCCTATTCCTTGTGGTGAACGTCTAATCAGTCCTAAATCAGTGCGTTGCCACACAGCAGCCATATTTGTCCAACTTAAGTGCTTAGAAAAAAAACCTTCTAGATCAAATTTTGGATGCGACGCAAAAAAACCCTCCAAAAAACAATGCCAGGAGTCTTAAGTTTGGTTGTGCTAGGAGACTGTGGCAGTAAGAATGAGGCAGTGTAAAAATTAAAGTCGAACAACCAACGGAGAAAATAACGTGCTATTATATCTGGTTATCACTCATCCATGGAAAACCTGACAAAAGCAAACCAAGGTCCTGACAGGCCAAGAGAAGTGCATTCAATGAGAGCTGCTCCCTGTGGATCTTATAGAAGATTCCATCAACGTAGCGGAGTTGGATTGGGAGAAAGAAAGAAAAAAGTTGTTTTTTATGACAATGAACTTGCTTGCTGTGTTCAAGGCTTAAAAAAGAAAAAACTAATATATGAGCAGCTGTTAGCAGAAGGTACGTCTGTTCTAGCCACTTTCAACTAATGCTCTCGTGTTTTTACAATGGCCTCTAGTCTGGAACGCCGCAAAGCGAAAGAGGACGGCAAACATCTTGTGTCATGTGAATTTTCTTCCATCTTGCTCTCTGTGCAGCCTGCCTTTTATGTTTGTACTTCTCGGTAAAAGAAGTCCATGTTTGTTTGTGTGTGTGCGCAGTTCTTACAAAAATAAGTCTTCAGCACAGCTAGGGACCCAGCTCTGCCCTCTCTGTACAATGACCCTAAAAGTCCACTCATCCACTCGAGAAGAAAAGGGTCAGCATCAAGAGTGTAAGGGGGGGTAGGAGGTCACAGCAGAAGAAGCTTTCCATTCCGGTGAATCTTCAGGATCTTGCCCAGACGCTGCTTAGCTGTAGCTAAACCTTTCTTGGGTCGCTTTCCTTGGGAAAAAAAACCCCAACATATACAATTAATGAAAAATAAAAATCACAAAGTCTAGGCGATTACTAGTAATATGTTACGTTATTTTATGAAGGACAGCTCCTCATAATGGGGGTTACAAAGAGGGGGCATTAAACCCTACAAAATAAGATACGATTACAATTATAGTATCTATGGAGGATAAAGTGACACCAGACTAAGGAGTTAAATCTTAGAAATGCATGCAAGTATATTAACTATTTTATTTTTTTTAAATCTTATTTGTGTATCACTCGGCAGTAGATCCTCAAATCATCTCTGAATTGGTGCCGACACTGTCCTTCCTTCTGGAGGGGGGCTACTTTTGTTCCCCATGGTCCCCGTGTGTGTAGTAAAGTAGCCACCGCTCCAAGCTCACACCCGTGGGGACTACAATGTCACATTTGGTTTACTCATTTGTATTGAAATTGTAGTCCATCACGGCAGTGAGCTTGGAGCGGTGACTACTTCACAACACACACAGGGACCATGGGGAACAAAAGTAGCCACCCTCCAGAAGGAAGGACAGTGTCAGCGCCAATTCAGAGATGATTGGAGGATCTACAGCCGAGTGATACACAAATAAGATACATTTCTGTTAATAGTTAAGGTGCTTGAATGCATTAAGACTTAACTCTCCAGCTTAGGGTCACTAAAGTCAAGTATTTACTTTGGCATTGCCTCCTTGTGACAAATGAGTGATGCAGTGCTACTTAGGCGCCTGTTGATCCTAGGACCATGATGGTTTTGTAAGTCTATCTCATGACATGATATGGATCTCTATTGTGGAAGGATGTGTCCTTTTATAATTGGTGTCTATATATCGTTTGACACCGTTGATTTTGCACATTTCGTATTTTGAATGTGTTTATTTACATGTTTCAATAAACGAGAAATAAAAAAATTTAAAAAAAGTATTTACTCCGGGAGGAAGTCTGGTCTAAAATCAGCATTAGAGAATTAAAGGCCGCACCTTTAACTGGCAGTCAGCTCATCTTAGTAAAGACCACCATGAGAGGACGGGCTTTTATATGGACTTAGAGAGACGTCAGGGACCCCAACAGCCTCCGACATCCAACAAGGACACCGTCATCAACTTAAAGGCTAAGACATAGCTACTTCTAAGCGCCACAAGGTGCCTGCATTTTAGAATAGTTGTGGCATTTTTTTTAGACCAGGTCAGGGTCACTTTGAATTTTAAAGTAAACCTATTACAAACCTCAGGATTCTACATATGGTGACAAAACACATACCAAAATGTTCAGTAGACATGCAAATGCCAACGTTTCCTGTAAATAACAAAAAAAACCCGCAGGGTCCTGCTCATTAGCCTTCAGTTATATACAGATCCTAACATTCCATGGCCTCTACCCCCACCTGCCAATTGTTTATAGGGTGTCTGTCCATCACAGTAAAGGGCCAATAAAAAAAGGCTTAGGAAGCAAGCCAAAATGTTGCAGGGAAAACTTGTGATTGTCATTAAACTTATTCTTTAGGATCTGGTTATGTGCTCATGCAGTTTTCACTAGGGATGCACCGATACCGATACTAGTATCGGTGCCGATACTGAGGATTTTGGTGGGTACTCGTACTCGCCCAAATGCTCCGATACCGGAACTTCCAGTCAGAGGGAGATTTCCTGACTGGCAGTGCCGCAAGGGAACATGGAGCTGAAACCTCGGCCAAGCAAGATTGGCCCGCAATCCGCCTCCATGCTATTTGGCCATTAAGAAAGCACAGCAAAGCAGACTGAGTGTGCAGAGTGGCGCCCCGCTATAGCAGGGCGCGGTAATCACCAGCCACGCACTGACAGCCCTCCCCATGCATCTCCGGATTCTGATCGATTGTGACCTCACTGGCTAGTTTGCAGGGGTTGTGCAGGCGTCCAGAGCCCTCTGCCTTTGGACCGCAAAACACCAAAGTTGCCAATCAGCATGGTGCTGGCTTCCCGGCCAATCAGGAAGCCAGGCAGCGGGTAAGGATCTGCCTCCCGAAGTCCGGATTGGCCGGGAAGCTGGCTCCATGCTGATTGGCAGGAATGCCGGCTTCCCGGCCAATCAGCATTGAGCTGGCCAAGCAGTATGGAGCCGGCTTCCCAGGCAATCAAGAAGCCGGGCAGCGGGTCATGACTCGCTGCCCAGCTTCCTGATTGCCCAGGATGCCGACTCCATGCTACCGGAAGTACCTGCATTGGTACTCGGTATCGGTGCGTACCGAAATAAAAAACTATCGGTACTCAATACCGAAAAACCGGTATCAGTGCATCTCTAGTTTTCACTATATGATAAACTTTGCATAGAAGGTGTGAAAACTCAGAGTAAAAATCAGACTTTTAAAAGGTAAAGTCAATTCTTAAACAATCCATTCCATACCCTGAGCTACTTGACTTGTTGGAGAGGTAGCAGAAAGCCGTCTGTGAGAAAGGAAGACACCTGGTGCCATCGGAGTAGTCCCACGGTTCACCTGAGCCATGCCAAAAATATTGGGGCCAGCTGTGTACTCATGGTCAGCCAGGCTGCCGGAGAACACCTCGATCTGAGGCTCAGGAGGAGGTGGCGGCGGCGGCTCAGGCTCTGATGGGAGAATTTGAGGTTCTGGTTCAATTGTAGGCTTTTTCTTGCTGTTCACTTTCTTCTTTTGAGATCTCTGTTGCTCCTGAAAGAACAAAAATGTGAGAAAATAAAAATGGTTAATTTTTAGCCCATTAGGTCTGGTCTGCACATTGATGTGCATTTGAAAAAGGTTATTTATCACAAAGCTTAAATTATATGTCCAGGCAAAAAATGCATGATGGAATAAATGTCATAAATGTAAAGTGAGACAAAACCTTTGGCATATTTTGCCATGTACCTGCTGTGATAGCCTTGCTGCTGCTACAGCCAGTCCCGTCTCAACTGAGGCCACGCGAGTTCCTTCTCGAACCGGACGGGCTTGTTTTGGGAGTGTTGGAGTGACACGTGCTGAAAAAGAGAAAAGTCACTTATTACGTTTCCGTCAATAGTCATCATTACCTGCATGGCAAACCATTTCTCTCAATGTTCACTGTGGTGCACAGCACTGTGGGGAATATGGTCTGCCTGGAGCTGCAATTAGATATTCTGATCAACTAGAACAAAAACTGACACATGCATGGGGCTACTTCCCTCATATACACTTCATAGACTACATGAAAAACTAGACAAAAAAAGAAAGGCATAAACTTGCGTGCATCACGTGTTAGAATCCTATAATAGAAACAGACATTTTCTAAGACCAGTGTTCAGCTTTATGGCTGATAAAGACTAGTTCAAAGCCTAACTCCGAGTAGATATTATTTACTTAAGTACTTTAAGTTCGAGTTGCTTTTTTTTGTTTAAAATTCAAGACCAACTAGAGCCCCAGCCAGGGTTTAAAAAAAAAAAAAAAGTCATCTACCGTACATTCCAAAACTGCAGTACCAGTTATACACCACAAGATGTCCTCAGAAATCCAGGTTGAATTATGCCCACGGTCATTTAATCAGTAATACTGAGGAGCTACTGTGAGTGCAGGGCATCATGGACCAACACAGCACCCTGTATCCACACTTCAGCTCCGCTCTCGGAATCTTATGCTGCCGTGAGCAGTCCACAATAATTTAAATAGGACCCTGTGTGTCACCTGACTAGACTGAAAACTTCAGAAAAAAAAAAGGTTTTACTTAAAAATAAATAAAAACCAAAAATGAAAAAATAATAAAATACACATACATACATTTTATATATATACATACATACATACACACATATATACATACATACACACATATACATATATATTACACACACACACATATATATATACATATACACTCATTCTCTCCCTCTATATATCTATACACACACACCCACACACAGTATGAGGGTCCGAGTCTGGAGTTGGGATTTGAATATAGCATTGTGATTTGGAAATGCCAATATGTCCTAATGATATGTGTAAATCATGTGCGTTTACAATAGGTCTGCTTTATATTTACATTTTATTCACCAATTGTATGCCAAATCATTCTGAACTACAAAGTTCAAAAAAACTAATGACCGTGATGAAAACTACACAAACCAGAAAAGTTACATTATAAATAAAAAGTGAACATTGGAGATTGTACCCTTTGGATTCCATGGAGCATCATCTGTCTGCTTCTTTTTTTTGGGACGTGACCTTAGTGCTGGGTCATCATCATCAGACTCCAGAGACGGGTAAACTGAAATGCAAAAGCAGAAAAAAATTAAATAAAAAGAAATCTATAAATTAGCTTGGACAGACAAACTTCACAAATCAATGTATAACGTATAACAGAATGAGACATGTTAAAGGAGCCCTATAGCTTCAGCATGACATTCAGGGATGTAACATTCTCAAAGGAGAGGTCAGCAATGACCCCCATACTTTGCTCATGGCAGAGTCACTAAGTTTTACTGTTATGCATAGAGAAGGACCTAGTACAACCATATACTTTAAATAACCATACTCACTATACTCAGAGTCTTTGAAACATGCTCCCAGCGTTTCCTGCTCATCAGTACTATCATCATCTTCACTGTCCATACTACGATGTGCAGGCCTTTTGACCGGCCTCTTTCCTGGCCTCAGAATCACTTTGTTTCCAGAGCCTCCGCCAGGGCCATTATTTCCAGACTTGTTGCCAGCAGCCTTAATACCACCTTGTGGTACACCAGACACTGCTCCACTCTCCTGCCCAGCTGACCACCAAGCTTGAAGGCTTGCAGGGGTGCCGGACGAAGAGGCTTGAAAGTTGGCCATACACAGCATACCCTGAATGGCCTCCTGGGTGCTTGGAGAAGCAGGTGCTTCGCTGTAAATTGAGAATTTTAAGTTTTAATAATATTATTCCAGATCAAATTGAAAATTTACACAACAGAAAATAGGATTTTGGTACTCACCGTAAAATCCTTTTCTCTCCGTTCATTGAAGGACACAGGGAACAGATCGGAGATCCTGTACTGTAGGGTAATATCGCCACCTGCAGGAGAAGGACGCTAGGCACAAAACTAAAGACCAATCCCAGCCTAGGGGCGGCCCCTGCCGGTGGCAAAAACCCCCCACCTGCTGACAAGTCTCCAGTTTAGTAACAAGCAGTAAAGGAGTACACACCCATATAGAGGGGCGGGCCCTGTGTCCTACAATGAACGGAGAGAAAAGGATTTTACGGTGAGTACCAAAATACCCGCCCGTCAAATCCTTAATGATCTCATCCAAGGTAGCCCCGAACAGACGCTCCCCCGTAAAGGGGAGCTCCGTCAGAGCCTTCTTGGAATTTGAGCCAGAGGAGGCGCCGAAGAGTAATCGCCGCCGCTGTTGTCCCCAGCAATCGACCCCCCGCAGGCAGACGACCCTCCTACAGTAGCTGACTCCCCGTGTCCCAGTGCGTCCTCACCCGACCGCGTCCCGGCGTGAAAGACCGAGCCGGCCGGGTGACGCGCTATATGAAAACAGATGGTAATGGGTCCCAATCAGCAAGATGGCGAGTGAATATTTTAAAGTGTGGCCTGATAGTCATCTACAAAAGTCATTTGGGGTGGCTACACAGCCATTCAATCTAACTTAAGCTGGCCAGACACTGCTGAGATTTTCGAAAGATCTTTCTTTCAGCTTTCTATTAGTTGATCGGGTCAAATCTCGGCTCTCGATTTCTACTGTAGTGACAAAAAAAGTCAAAGGAACAGCATGGATTGAAAGAGCGAAATTCTAACAGTGAATGTGGTTTTCATTAGGGAAACTCCATTCATTTCTGAACCGAATGTTAAAATTAAACATTTTGTCGACATTCGTCAAGTGTCTGATGCATTACTGGGTAGTAAAGGAAGAACTTTCATAGGTAAAGATAGATCTTTTGTTTAGAAATCTGCTAGTGTATGGCCAGCTAAAGAAATCAATGTATGTGCTCTATGCTATAGCTCTGACACCCCTCCTGTTGCTGGTCTGATAGCCAACTTTTGCATTCCAGATGGCAAGCATGGAGCTGGCATATGGATATGGCTTATGCTCACTGATCTCATTCTGGCTTTAAATGGAATCACAAGTGCTTAGTCCTGCGGTCAAAAATAGGCAGTACAATTGGGTTTATATACTTTAGAAATCTTCAGGAAAAAAAAATTCACGGATTCTTAAAAAGGAACCCGATTCTCTTTACTCACTCTATTTCAGAGTAATCTGGGCCTCCAACTTGTCTGCTGGCTTTTAGAAGGTCTAATATACCCCCACTGCTAGCGCCAAGCTGGTCTCCATCACCTTCTCCCATTTCTTCATCTGTGGTGTAGTCTTCCTGTTAAGAGAGTTAGAGGCGATTCAGTGTGAAGTGCTTTTAGATGCCATCAACTAAGAATTGAAGTCTATTTTACCAACCTCTACATCAAACTCCAGCTCTCCTGGTTCTCTCACTTTGTTCGGGTCCGAGCACGGCTTTGCACGTGGAAGCTTGCGTGGGAATTCTGCAGAAAGCAGCGAAGGTAACAGAAAGATTACTTGACAATTCAGTTGTTGGTAGATACTTGAGACCGTTACTATAGTCTGGCAATTTCTGATATCTCCTGGTGACTCTGAGCTTGGGTTTTTGGGTCTGCACACCTACTGAGGGGTCCCCTCTCACTTGGATTTATTTCATACAGAATTACAATCTCTGTTGCAGCCGATCTTGCTCTTTTGCAAAATTAAAGCTGCCACTAGGCTCTTCAGTATCCCAAACATTCAGTGAAGTGTATCCTGTGTCCGGCTAGCTGCTGGTTACATTAAGGGCCAGGTCACACCATGTCCCCAGAACGCACTGGATCTCATATATCAGGCCGAGCCCCGTTTTGGAGTGGGAGGGGGCGTGGCAGTGGCATTCATGTCAATGGCACCGCAGGGACACCCGCTACCTGCAATGCGATCACCCACACCAGAAAGTGAGGTACAGAAATGCCTTCCATTCCGGTGCAGTGTGATCGTAAAAAATGCTGCATGCACTATTGACATGAACTGCATCGCCACGCCCCCTCCCACCCCATAACACGACCCGGACTGATCTATGCGATCCAGTGCGTTCTGGGCTCGGACTTTGCCGGAAACACACTGGATATGGAGTGACTGGGCTCTAAAAATCCTCCTTACTCTAAAGCTGGATCCTACTCACAATGTTTTACTTGCAGCTCTGCAGAGGTGAAGAACGGCAGCTGTGAAGGAGCTTCCCTTCATCCATTCACAAACCTCATTGTATTATTTTCACAGAATGCAAGGCGTGCTGTGAATAGAAGTGGAGAGGTGGAGAAAAAATGCCAGGATTTCCCCTCCTCCACACAAATTTCACCAGCCCAAGGCTACATTCTATGCATTGCTGTGGCAAGACACACAGCCACAGAAATGTTTTATCTACCATCTAGTGGACTCTCCATATAGCTATCCACTCAAGCTAGTGACACCCTTAGCTCTGGCTAAGTATTTAGAGGTGGTTTATTATACTACAATGTCATATAAACTCTACATGTCTTATCTAGAACAAAAAAATGATATACAAGTTCATACTGTGCAGCTTCCTTTTTGGAGGGACCAGCTTGCGTTCCTTGCGTGGCGCCTCATCAATTTGCAAGTCATCATCAGAGTCCATGAGAAAAGGGTCAACAGGTGACATATCGGGATCCGCTGGTTCACTTTTTGCAATTTTTCTGGCAGAAGCCTGGTGTCTACTTCCAGCTCCTACACAAACCTTCTTACCACTGCATGAAAAGGACAAAAAAACAAAAAAAAGGTAATGTTCCAAATACTAAATAAAGGATTCCCACATAAACTATTCTGCCATGCCGACCATATTGTAAAATGTATGATGATGATATTTAAAAAAATGTATTAAACGTAGTTTGAAATATGAGCATTTACCACCCTAAGCTGCGGTAGGAGATTTTCAGTAATCCTAGGAATACCTACTGGACGCATCATGAAGAAGTATATTAGCAGGTATAGTCCCAGGCTCATCATGTATGTTTAAAACGGTAAAGGTTTGGAAGAGGGACTCTTAAATTTAAAAATTACAGACGAGATTATAGACGAGAGAACGGTGGAGCCCGACGAGCAGCATCCCGGCCGGCCGTTGTAATTACACGGCCGGCCGGAAGCTTAACACAGACAGAGACGCTCGACCGTTTGTATTAGCAGCTGTCACTGCCGTTGCTGGTCCCGAGATCTGCTGTGACCGATGCGGCCGGGACCGGCACGGCTCTGTGGCAGGAGAAGAAAGTGAGTTCAGTATACGAACTCCCTTTGATCTCCTCTCAGTCCCCGAATGCCGGAAGTGATGTATATGACATCACTTCCTGCATTCAGTGTCACTCTCCAGCTAGAGAAGCTGATGAAGCAGATCTCTGCTTCATCAGCTTCTCTGGGGGTCCCTAGGTGACCCCTGATGTCTCCATAAAGAGGACCTGTCATGTAAATTGGCTATCCCATAGGGGGCTTCCTAGCCCCCCATGTAATAGCAATAAAGTTGTGTGTAAAAAATACAAAAATTAAAGAATCATTAAAAAATTAACCATAAAAAAAATTTAAAAAAGAACATTTTAAGTCCCCGCCCCCCACATACACACGCAGATATGCGTTGGGTGCGCCTACGTGCGAAAACGACGATTGCGCCTATTGTGCCGCACACGCCGGAGTGAGAGCAATAATTTTAAAGCCATTAATCACCGATAACACTAAACTGATGAGCAGTAAAAGCATTTTAATCGTCTCCTATGGGCGTATTTTTGCGACACACACACTGAGTGGCCAGATTATTATGACCACCACATCAGTACTCCATTGGGACACCTTTTGCCTTCAATATTGCAGCGATTCTTCTTGGCATTGAATCCACAAGATCGTGAAAGGCGATGCGAGGAATCTGACACCACGCCTGATGAATAGCACTGTCCAGTTCTGTGAGATTTGATGGTTGTGGAACCAGCTGCCTGATGGCTCTTCCAACTTCGTCCCACAAATGCTGCAATTGCATTGAGATCTGGTGATTGTGGGGGCCACCTAAGCAAGGTAAAGTCTCCCTCATGTTCTTGAAACCACTCCTGCACCATACGAGCACCGTGGCATGGCGCAGTGTCTTGTTGGAAGAAGCCGTCCCCATTGGGATACGCCATCAACATGATCGGATGAACTTGATCAGCAACGATACTTTGGTATGTTGTGCTATTCAGACGTTGTTCCACACGAATTAAAGGGCCCAAATCGTGCCAGGAAAACATGCCCCAAACCATAACACTGCCCCCACCAGCTTGAAGGGTTGTACTCATGAATGTGGGGTGCATGCTTTCATGCTGTTCCCGCCAAATTCTCTCTGCCATCTGCATGATGCAACTGGAAACGTGATTCATCGGAACACATGACTTTTTTCCAATGCTCTACTGTCCAATCCTTGTGTTCCTGTGCGAATTGGAGACGTTTTATCTTGTTAACTGCAGACAGCAAATGTGTTCGAACAGACCTCTGGCTTCCATATCCCATACGATGCAGTGTAAGGGGGAGTCCGGTGAAGTCACCGGACTCCTCCCCCTTCCCTTCATTAGCCGACGGAGCCACTTGGGGACATCGACGCCACGGGACTCCTCCCACCTTCCCTTCGTTAGCCGACGGAGCCACTTGAGGAAGGGGGGAGGAGTCCGGTGACGTCGATGTCCGTGACGTCAACGTACCTCCGTCGGGAATCCCGGAAGCCGGCGGAGAGGCGAGTATTTTCATTAGCGATCCAAAACATTTTAATCGATCAAAAAGATTAATCGAGACATTAAGCATTAATTTGCACAGCCCTAAGGGCCTGTGATACATGACCCTTACAACAGCAATTCCAGGAAACGTATGACCACTACAAACCGTTAGCTAACTTGCAGTGTGTGGAGATAGACTTGTTGTGATATGAGGTTCTGCCATTAAAACTCAAAATGGAAAGTGAGGCTATGGAATCACCTCCTCTAACCACTAATCTGTCTCAGCACAGCTGATATCAGATAAAGGCGGACACTTCCAACAACCTTTATCTCCTCTACAGAAGGTGATAAGTGCTGTGAATCACTGAACACTCACTCTCTAGTGCACATGGTTTATCTATTTCCTGGACAACCTCTTTCAGGACAAAATCTCGAATAACGGTGTTACTTAATTACATTCAGTACTGTTTTAGTGGAAATACATTGTCAAAAGATCATCACTCACCTTAGATTCATACCATTGGACAAAACTAACGGTAGTTTACTCTCTGCCAATTCTGAATCGAGTAGGGAAGCATCAGGTTTTTCATCATCATCCAAAATATCATCATCATCCCCCTGGATTACAAAGATATGCACATCGGGTTAAGGGTAAAATGGTCAACAGCACACACACGTTTTTGGTCTTGGGCAGCCCACAGAGAAGGAAGAGGATTTGTTAGCAACCAAAAACTACGGAATGCCAATACATCAGATATGGGCAGGTTATAAGGCCATCGGAACAAAGTAAACACTGCATTAATGACTGAAGGTTGCACACTGAAATGCAGGGTTACTGTATTCCACAATGCAATGTTCAGAGCATGTGCAATCTTTTGATAGGACTGGAAATTGGAACATGGAAGGCAAACACGCACATCTAAGCTTACCACAGGCAACTCGTGGGACGTTACGAGTGCACAAAAAAGGCACAACAGTTAAACCAGCAGTTTGTCTTAATAGCCCGCCCTGCCTGCTTTTCTGTGCAACTGTGATTTGCTATATGAAAGCATAAGGCTGGGTTCACACCTAGGCGGATTGAATGTGCACGTTTTTCGTGCGGTTTTTTACCGCGATTCACGGTAAAAAAACGTGCGAAAAACGCGCGTTTCCGAGGGATACTTGGCTGTATCCCAATGGAACCGCCCGACCAAAACGCCCCAAAGCAGTACATGTACTTCTTTGGGCGTAGGGCGGTTTCCCGCACGTTCGTACTCACGTGAAACTGCCCAGATGGGAACCATGCACATTGAAAATAATGGCATTTCCCTGTTTGAGCGTTTTTCCGCGAGTACGAAAGCGCGGAAAAACGCCTAGGTGTGAACCCAGCCTTACAGGTTTACTTTAAAAAGCTCTTTGTGGCATAAAGCGTGAGGGCTTCACACAAAGCATACAACTCTAGCTTTTAAATACTATTTCTCATGCAACTGCTTTCACAATTACACGTGGCAGAAACCTCTAGCACAGCGGTTCTCAACCTGTGGGTGGCGACCTCGTCGGGGGTCGAATGACAACTTGCCAGGGGTCGCTGGGAGTCTCCCGCTATTAGATAGGGCTCCCGGCCGCCCGGGAGAGAAACACTTTCTCCCGGAAAGGTTTAAACTGCTCGATCGAGCAGAGAAAACCTTTCCTGCGATTTTTTTTTTTTTTAATACCGACATTAGAGCCCAGGCCGTCGTAAGTAAAAAAAAAACAAAAAAGACCACCATTGCAATGCATAGCTAGATTCCTGTTGGCGATTTCACTTTGCAAAAGCCAATAGCTAACTAGCTATTGCACTCGCCCACTTACCATTATTATTTTTATCATCTACCTATAAAATCTACATTTTATATAATTTGAGTTTTTTAAGTTTACTTTTGAAATAAAATTACCATTATTTTATTATTATTATTATTAATAATAATTACAACCCATTTGTATATGTAGATAAAAATGGTAATTTTTTTCCAAAAGAAAACAAACCTTTTATTATCATTATTATTAATAATAAAAGCGGACACCCTCGGTTTGCGTTATATGGTTTGCCATTTTAGCTGTTACAGCAGTCGTTCTCAACCTGTGGGTTGCTGTGTGATTTCTGCTGTGCTAGGTGAGAGAGTCCTCCTCAGCCCTCCCCTAGTGCAGCAGTGTCAGTTCTCCCGCCACACCAGCAGCCGCATCATTCCTAAATTTTACCGTTGGGGGTCACCACAACTTGGCAAATGTTACCAAGGGGTCCCGGCCCTGGAAAGGTTGAGAACCACTGCTCTAGCATAACCGACTGGATCTATGCTGTGGAGAAAGAACTGAATCTTCAACCAGCAGATCGCTCATCTATTGCACTTACTGTTATGCTTAATGTGGTGATCAAACTTCGGCACTGAATTCTCAATCCCTGCTCCTTTAGGAAATCATGCTCAAAGCGGACTAAGAAAATGACCAGAATCCCATCATTACAGGAGGATGGTAAATGACCAGAATCCCATCATTACAGGAGGATGGTAAATGACCAGAATCCCATCATTACTGAAGGATGGTAAATGACCAGAATCCCATCATTACTGAAGGATGGTACAAGAGTTTATGTTTTATAATTCTGGCATTGCTTGAGTAGGTCAAGTCGCAAACTTTGAAAAATCTTTTGTCTTTAACTGCTTGAAGACCAGGACCCCCTTCCTGACCAGGCCATTTTTCAGTATTCAGCGCTGCGGTACTTTGACTGACATTTATTCCGTCATGCAGCGCTGTACTGAAATTAATTTTATACCATTTTTTGGGGACAGATAGAGCTTTCTTTTGGTGGTATTTAATCACCACTATGGGTTTAATTTTTTACTATAATTAGGAAAAATTACTGAGAATTTTGAAAAAAAACGTTTGTTTACATTATGTTAGGAAACATTTATTATTACCCAGTTCGGGTAAATAGACAGCAAACATGTCAAGCTTTAAAACTGTGCGCACCTGCGAAATTGCAGAAAACTACCATGCCCAAAATTGGCCATAGGCGACGCTTTAAAAGCTTTTACCGCTCATCAGTTTAGTGTTATTAGTGATTGATGGCCCTAGAATTATTGCTCCCACTGGGATGTTCGCGGCGATATGCAACATGTGCGGCTTAATGGGCGCAAACATTTTTTTTGTTTTTTTATTCTTTTTTATGTGTAACTAAATTTTTTTGGGGGGGAAAACTTTAATTTTTTTTTCACTAAAATGTATTGCTATCATATACGGAGGCTAATAAAACCCCCCTATGTGATATCAAAATATATGACAGGTCCTCTTTATGGAGACATCAGGGGTCTCCCAAGACCCTAATGTCACCTAGGACCCCCCAAAAGAAGCTGATGAAGCAGAGATCTGCTCCATCAGCTTCTTACCAGCTTCTGAAGCTGGAGAGTGACACAAGAATGCGGAAGTGATGTAAAATACAACACTTCGGCATTCTTGCAGCGGAGAGGGGACCGGAGGGAGCTTGTGTACCGATCTCCCTCTGATCCCATGACAGAGGCACCATGCTGATCCCGGGCTCGCACCGGGCACAGCGGAGCCCGGGACCACGACAGGGGAGGGGACCCCGATCCTTTCCCCATACAAGCGATCCGCCGGCTCTATAGCCGGCAGATCGCTTGTATGTTAACAGGCATCGCTGCCTGTTTTTAAATATCGGGCATCTAAAGACGCCCGCTCAGATCTAGAGAGCTAGTTAAATACAGAACAGAATATTCTGCAGGCCAAGGATTGTAAAATCTGCCCATCAAAGTCTTCTTACCGATACTGCAAGTATACAAGATCCAGGACTGTCCAATTCTAATCATGCATGCCAACAGTATTTAAAAAGAAATGATTCACCATTGATTGGTCATCAGCAGTCTATCTCGGAAGCAAGACGCTTGCACAGTTAAACTGGCAGGAGACTTAGGCACCATGATCAATCCTTTAGTCAATAAGGCTATAGAGAAGGAAAACTTTACTTTTAGTACCCACACTGTAAAACGATTTTTAGCCCTGCCCAGAAGATCTTCAATGTGTGGTCCTGTCCAGCCACAGAATAAGAAGGCACAGTGCTCTGTGGCTTTTCTTTTTGAGTGCAAAGACTGTGCTCGGCCGGGCAGGGTAACAAAATGAAGATCTCACGAACGGGACTGAAGGTATTTTCCTTTTATTTGGCTTGCATAAGCAATTCACTGCATGATTTTACTCATTGTCTGTAGTTGTTCTTTAATCTGGGTCAAGTGAATAAAAAGACACAGTAACATCAGCTAAAGATCATACAGCAATGTGATATTAATCCTACCATTTCTTTCTTGTACATAAGGGCCTTCCTCTGATTTTGAATATCGACCAGCTCCGAATCATCCTCCAGCCCATCTTTACCCCATCGTCCACCTTTCTTCCCAAAATCTTTGGACTTGACCCCCTTTTTCTTGGGACCCTTGGGCAGAAGGGACATTTTGACAGGAGAAGATGTGCTGGTCATGGGGCTTCTTGACATACCCAAAAGTTTGCCAGTCTTCTCAATGTTTTGATGAAAGATGTCCTGACGGAAAGCACAGAAATTCAGGCAACATATATTGAATAAGTACAATGCAGGAAACCTAAAAACGGTAAACTAACCTCCATTAGTCGGACTTCCCGATCTAGATCCTTGATGAGCTGAGAAGTAACTATGGTCTCAGGAATTTCCTCCTCGTGATCCATTAATGCCTGCAAACCAAAAAGATGATTACATAAAAATAAATACGATATTACAACGTATCAGCAAGGTGGAGCAAAGTGTCAAGATAACAATATACAAAACGGTTACAACGAAAGGCTTGCAGGTGGGGTGCACAGAACTTTATTCAAACACAAAACACAATGCAGGGAGCAGTTACTGACAGTCACAGCTCTCTGCAGGGATAGATCGAGAAGTGAGCGAGCGACGGTATGCGTTTGCTCACTTCCCGATCTACTGAGCCGACCTGTGACAATTTGATTGTCACAGGCCGATTCAGATTATGAGGCTGAGTGAAAAATCACTCACCTCATAGTTCTCCTTTAATGTTGATGGACCTTACAGCTGAACAATATGGCTGAAAGAGTTTTTCATTATTAAAATGGCTACAAATGTTATACATCATGTAATGAAACATTTCTCTACCTCCTGCATATGGATATATCAGCTCTACAAATTAAATAGCCCACCTCTTTCTTGGTCCAGGACCTAAAAGCTGTATTAAGTGCTTTAGCTCCATGCAGCAGATAAGTGGCTGGATGCCTCCTGTTCTCTCGCAGACCTGCACACATAAAGAGAGGGAGCAAAATGATACACAGGCAGGATGTCATAAGAACAAGGAACATGTCTCTCAGATGCCATAATGCAGAATGAGTGAAATGCCACCTTTAATAAAGGATCTTTGTTCAAAGTGGCAGTGAAGGGTAATGAAGGTAGGCCACTGACTTGTATTCTAATACCTAACCAAAGTCTGAGAAGCAGAAAAGATTTAAAGAAGGTGAACAAGAGAGAAAACTCCTTAGTAGAATGGCAGGAGACTACCCCAGCTAAAGGTCAGCAAGATCTCATACTGACTGCAGACTGAAGCAGAAAACAAAAAAAAAATCTCCCCATTCCCTTAACATGTACATGCTCAGTGCCATCTTAAAGTGACATTAAAGGCAATTTTTTTTCCCCCTCACCCCAACGTTAATTAAAGCACTTACCTTAAGTGATGTCTCTTAATCTGATCAACTTCTTCTTTCCTGTAGTTTTCAGCCTTCTCTCTAGCGCTGCGGGTCTCCCATCCAGCGCTGACTCCTCTGAGCTTGCTGGCACGTACTCTCCCACGGTGTCTGCATGCGGGTGCACCCGTCCATAGACTTACCTTGTGTCTTTCCTCGCGGCCGAAAATGTGAACTGCGCATGCGCCTGCCCCAAGATGCTTTGCAGGCCGCCCGTGCAGTTTCACATTTTCAGACGGGAGCGTGCAGGGAAGACACAGGTAAGATTAAACCGCTGTTAAAAGCGTTTTTAAAAAAAAACTTTTGCATATAGCTACTGCTTCCTAGCAGTAGCTATATGCAAAAAAAGCTGAGGGTTTAGAAACCCTTTAAGGGCCTGTGTGGATGGATTTTTTGTTTATATCAAGACAGGCTTTGCATTTCCAAACAAGTGTAAGGAAATTAAAAACCCACTTGAAGGAGGTCAAATGCACCCATCAACTTCTCAATGATCTCAGCAGCAAACTGATGACAATAACATAAGCAGAAGGTCCCTCAACACAGGCCCTTAGACTGGTGATATACTGTAGTTCCTGCCTCCAGCAGAGCAGCACAAATCTAAGGAAAGGCAGAGATATGAGGCAATAAAGAAAGGAGTTCTTTAAAAACATTTTGACCAGCATTCTGGAAAAGAAACGCATACCTCCTTAATCTTTAGCCAACCTAGCAGAGAGCAGAACTTACCACGAAATGTGTCCAGTAAGTGCTTTCCCACATACCAACAGATTGACTCAAAATTTGGAAACTTGAAGAGGTCTGCAGTACTCAGCCGCTTTTCAATCTCATATGCTCTGTGTGAAAAAAAAACAGAGAAGAAAGTCTGAAATTCAAATTCCAGTTCTGTTGAGACAGTAAAAAACATGTGTTTAAAGAAGGGGGAACTACTCAAATTATATTAAAAAAGGAGTTGCAAAAGATTCCTATTTTACATAAACATCCCTTTTCAAGAGACAATGCTCCCTTCTAGAGGAACAAGAAATTCCGCATGCACTGCTGCCGGCTGGTAGGTCATCTTCCTTCAGCAGCTGTTTGAGTAGCATTTACGAGCATCTATGAGGCTACCGCTAAAGGTCTTTAATTAGCACAACAAAGCAGTCTTTGAAAACCCAGGCGCACTTAGCCTACAGAAGCCCATTGGAAAGCAATTATTTTTTTGGAGCATACGCAGTACAAAGCCAATTTTACATAGACGGCCCAGTCAGATCCGCCTGTCAGTTTCTCAGGAGCATAGAAAATAAGCAGAAGGAAATGCTTCTCCCTCTATGAGCTATACTACCTACAAAGGGAGTGAGCTCAGTTTTAGCCAAACTGCTTTTGATTGAGCCTCTACATATTCTTTTGGCTCCCAGCAGTGTCTCCCCCGGCTCGTAAAACCAGAGATGCACTGTAAGAACTATTCCACATAGATGCCACATATCTAGTAGTATGAAATTTGATCCCCCAACCTGGAGATTTCCTATGGGTCCCCACCTTTGAACTGCCTATTGAGCCTTCTGGTATCTATGGGTCAGGGAGGGGTGAGGTTTGGCTACCACTAGTCTGCTAGGCTCCGCTTCTTACCCTTCTGGTTGCCTGCCTTCCATGGGAAGAGTGGAGACATTTTCCCGTCTGCCAGGTCTAATGGCTTTTTTGTTTACTCTTTTTTTTTTTTTAGCAACTGACATCAGACTGGTAACAAAGTGCTATAGCTGTATCCTCCCCATGCTCTGCAGCTACCTCTATGACCTTTGCTGACAGGATGGAAAGAGAACTTTTGTTCTCGCTCTGTTGCACTTCCCGAAAGTAAGACCGAGTTGTGACCATTCCCTGGGACGGTGGTGGCATAAGGGGGAAGTTGAAGAGCTGTGGGAGAGAATCAGCGGTGCCAACGAAGCCAGCGCTAGAGGAAGCGAGGTGGCAGCCGAGGGAACAGAGCCGCATAAGCCGATGCTTCCTCCATAGTACAGGGTCCTGTCACAGGCGGAGTGATACCAAATACACTCCGCCTGTGAGGTATTGAAAGGAAAAGCGTGCGTTGCTCATTTTCTTTACCAAATTGCTCTTGGAAAGGTACGGCACCCCCGATTACCCTGATCACCCTATTCTTAACTTTGCCATTTTGGATTATTTAATTTGAATTTGCATTAACTTTGGATTGTTCTACATTAAAAAAAAAAATAAGACATACCCCAAAAATAAGACCCAGTGCGTTTTTTTGAGCCCCAAAAAATAAGACAGTGTCTATTTTTGGGGAAACACGGTAGATATCTTTTCCAGGTGGAATGAACACCAAAGTGTGATGGATGGTGTTGTCTGCTGCTATTCAGAATTCACCTACCTGAGCTGCATGGCTATGTTTAGACTGTGCAGGAAGTTTCCTCCAAAAGCCAAACACTCCACAGGGGTTAAAACAGCGTGAATCCAGCCTGTGAAAAGTAAAAGATTTAACAAATGTCAACCAATTCAGCACAAGTCTGAAAAATACATGCAATGACATTTTTTTTTAGAATACAAAAGGCAGCGTCACGCAGTTTAATGATGCGTGGCTGACATACATGTGCTTTTTTGCATCATCTTATTAAGCAAAGCTAGTGTTATTGTCATGTTACAGCTACCTGTAGGGATGAAGAGAGTCTGGCCCTGCTTTACTGGACACCGGTAACACTTGTCTACCTGATCTCCAAAAAACATTTCATTCTGGTTAGAGGAGCTGCTCCAGCACTCGAACAAGGCCAAGTTGGTCTTTGTAGGCTGTATCAGATAGAAGATCTTCTCTCCCTGGAGCAAAAAAAAAAGAAAGTCATAATTGGTTGCTACAGCCTGTGTATTAAAGCAGTGTAGTACTTGATATAGTCGCATGCTACATACATAGGGTATATGCTTGTGTCTGCATTACTAACAATATATGCAGACAATACACATGAATATTCAGAATATTAAACAAGTAATTTAATGGCCGGGTATGCACAGTGTACTTTGATAAACCTTGCTTGACCTATCCTTAGGGCTTGTTCACACCAAGCACGTTCCAGGAGCAGAGCAGTTACAGACCGGATCAAAACTGCGTCCAATGTATTCCAATGGTATTTTGGGCTCTAGTTCACACTGCAGCGTTCAGTTCCAGAGCATGTAAAAAAAAAAAAAACTGCAGCAAGCCCTATTTTACCTGCTCTGGAACGCATGCAAACGCCTTGGAACGCACTGAAAGCCCATTTTAAACAAATGTTTCACATACAACCGATCAGCGGCTCTATAGTCGCCGATCGGTTGTATGGCGTGATTTTTTCCGCAGCCGCCCCCCCCCCTTCGAGTGCCGCTGACCCCTAACCTTTAATCCTGGGATCCACTAGCCCATCTGTGGCCTGGGACCGGGTCAGGAGGATAAGGGAGGGAGATCAGCTCCTTGCTGATCTCCCTCCGTGCTGTGAATGCAGAAGTGATGTGTATTACATCACTTCCGCATTCACCTGTCAGTCATCTGGCTGCTATAGCCAGAGAGAAGCTGATGAAGCAGATCTGTGCTTCCTCAGCTTCTTTTGGGTCCCCAGGTGACATTAGGGGGCCTAGAGACCCCTAATGTCTCCATAAAGAGGACCACATCCGGTGCACGAAAACTGCAATTGCACTACACGTTAACATATCGCCGCGAACGTCGAAGTAAGAGCAATCATTTTAGGGCCATCACTGATAACACTAAACTGATGAGCGGTAAAAGCTTTTAAAGCGTCGCCTATGGCCAATTTTGGGTAATGTACTTTGAGGTTCGCACGTTTTAGAATTTAATATAGGGGAAAGTTGTTTTTTTTCCTGTAATTTTTACTTAATATATTAAAAAGTAAAAACCCCAGTGATGATTAAATACCACCCAGGGGTGTGGAAATAAAAAAAAAAAAAAAAAACTACTTGTCCAAGAACAAAAGGGGGGGCCTGATCTACTT